AACATTTTGATCATTGCCAGATGGAAGAGGGGTTGGAGGGGTAGGTGAAAAAGGGAAGGGATTAAGAAGTACAATAGTAGGGGCCGGCTGAGTGGCGCCATGGTTAAGAACTGGCTTGGGAGGCCAGAGGGCTCCGGTTCAGATCCCACATATGAGGGCCAGTGACACTGCCCTCTGCAGCTAAGGTGCTGAACAACAGCTCGACCTGGGGCTGGGCTGCTGTGAGTCACTGGCCGCAGCGTAGGCTGCAGCCCCTGTGGCAGTGGGTTGCCATGGGCTACCGTGTGTAGCCAGCAGCCAGCGTGAACGGACAGCAGCCGCCGTGAGCGGCCGTCCAGAAGCCGGCGACTGATCTGCCTCACCCAGGAAGAGCGCAATGATGGTGCCAACTTGGGCCAGTAAAGCAACGTCCTCCACAACTAGATTGAAGAACAAAATGACAGCAACTTGCCTGTTCCCCTTCCCCCAATTCCCCAGCACTGTTCCCATCCCCCCAATTCCCCAATAAAAATCTTAAAAAAAAAAAGAAGTACAATAGTACAATTTGGTTGTTACAAAGTAGTCATAGGGATGTTTGGTATAAATATTGTAATAGCTATGTATGGTGTCAGATTGGTGTTAGATTTATCAAGGTGATAGATTGGAGGGGCATTGGGGGCAGGGTAAAAAAAGTAAAGGCATTAAAAAGTACATATTGGTAGTTACAAAATAGTCCTGGGGATATAAAGCATAGATAATATAGTAGATAATATGATAATAACTATGTGTAGTGCCAGGTGGGTACTAGACTAGTCAGAGGGATCACTTCTTAAATTATATAAATGTCTAACTGTTATGATATACACCTGAAATTAATATGAAATAATGTTGAATGTCAAATGTAATTGAAAAATCAAAAAGGGGCAAATGTGAAGGGGAATAAGAGTTCAAATTTCCAGATATAAAACAAATAAGTCATGGGGATGTAATATATAGCATAGGGAATATAGTCAATAAAATTATGATTAGCATGGTACAGTGTTAGGTGATTGCTGGACTTATCATGGTGATCACTTCTTTTGGTATATAAATGTTGAATCACTAGGGTTTATACCTCAAACTAATATAATATTGCATGTTAGCATATTTTAATAATATACTTTTAAAATATAGTGATAATGAATGAAAATGTTCCAGAACTAAGAAAAAAAGAAAGGAAAAAACCCTTGAATCCACAGATACAAAATCCAGCAGATACCAATTATGATTTTTTTAAAAATCCACACTTAGGGATATTGTAGTGCACCTGCAGAACATCAAAGACTAAAATATTTTACAAAAATTCAGAGGAAGAGCAGCCACCTACAAAGGTATGACAATTAGAATAATAGCAGACATCTTAAGTATAACAATGAAATCCAAAAGAGTGGAATAATATCTTAGAACTGCTGAGAAAATCACTCTCTACTTACAATTGTGCACTCAGGAAACTATTTCTCAATAATAAGGGTGAAAGAAAACATCACTTAAAAATAAACCAAAAATGAGAGAGTTCATCACCAAGACCATTAACAAAAAACTTCTAAAGGGTATCTTTCAGATAGTGAGGAAGTAGCCACAAATGTAATGTCTAGCAGGAAAAATTGAATGGAGGGCACAGAATGCAGTGATATGTAGGTATATAAGCAGGTATCCTTATGAAATAATAACAAAAATAATATCCAATGTGTGAGCTTAAAGAAAAGAGAACTAAAATAATGAAAATCAATATTGTGGAAGTTAGAAGTGGGTTATTAGGGTTAAAGTGTTCTAATGTCCTTGAAACATTGGTAATGGTTTACTTAATTCTTTTTAAAGCTCATTAGGAGAAAGGGGAAGTATAAAACTTATAAAAGCATGTTTAAGTTCAAATATATCAGTAAGACACAATAAATCCTACCAAAGTAAACTCACCCATTTAAGACACTGAGATTGTCAGACTGGTAAAAAAATAATAAAACAATCCAAATATAATCTGTTTATAAGAGATAAACTCAATACATAAAGTCATGGGAATTTTAAAAGTAAAAGGATTGAAAGCTACATGCCAGACAAATACTAACTATATGCTAACAAATATTAAATCAGGTTAGCATGGCTATATTAACACCAGACAAAAGATACTTTAAGATAAAATATTAATAAGGGTAAAGAGGATCACTACATGATAATAAAAAGATTATGCGCATGTAGCTAATAACATAGCTTAAGTTTTATGCAGCAAAAATGGATAGAACTTTAGGGAGAAATATACATATATATCATTATAGTCCAAGTTTGCAACAGTCTCTTCTCAATTGATATATTAAGGAGACAGAGTTTAATAAACTTATAGAAGATTTAGACAACATGATTAATACATTTTATTGAATAGACATATATAGAGATAAACCCTGCACACAAAAGTTAGATGGTATGTGTATGACTTTTTTCTTAAGAACACACTCATGAAAATTGAATACATATTAAATATAAAGAAACTATAAAAAAATCTCAGAGAATAGATATCATGCAGATTAATTTCTGATGACAATGCAATTAAGCTGGAGTATCAATAACAAAAAGAAGAAAGGGCACTCCTAGTTTTAGAAATTAAAAATGCATTTCTAAATCACTCATGAGACAAATAAGAAGCTGTAATGAAAATTTTTAAAAGCTTAGAAATAAACGATAATAAAATTACTAAAATCAAAACTTTTGAATGCAGCAAAGATGGTGGTAGGTAGCTTATTTTCCCAGTCTCTCAAGCTACAATTTTCAAGGATGTCTTCATGGTTTTTTTTTTTTTTGGTTTGCTTTTGTTTTTAGCTGAGCCATCCTGCTACCCGTTGGCAACTCAGCGGCTGCTCAGCTCGGGCTGGACTCGAACCGCTGTTGCTCAGAGCTCAAGCTCTTAACCAACTGAGCCACTCGGCCGGCCCCTGTCTTCATGTTTTTTGACTGCCTCCACACCACTGCTACTAGTAACTGCTCCCTCCCCCAGAAGATCTTTCTGTTCAACTTTTCTAAAATCACCTCCAGTTTCACCTCATTGGTGAAGCTTTAACATCCACTTGTTCGCTAATTGTTTCCCATTTAGTTTTTCATTCCAAACTAGATGGTACGATTTTTGAGTGGGCAGGGACCTAGTCTCATTCTACTTTGCATTTTCTCATAGCACAAAACTAAGCACCACCCCTTCCCATGTCCCTGCCTATTTGTGCTCAAAAAATGCTTTATGAATGATTTATGAAATCATTTAACACCTTGCAATAAACTATCATCCCAGCCATCGTTTAGAACAGTATAGCATGAAACTATATTGCTGCAATAGCCCACTGGCTTCCTATCTTGCTTCATTCTTCTTCAAAACTTGATTTAAAACATAGAAGGCTATTTGTTGCTTAAATTCAAGGTCTTTATTGAATACAATGTCTGTATTTCTTTCTAAACACATCATTAGCAACTCTAACTTTCTTTGGGGGGGGGTGGCGTGGTAAAAATATGTTTAACATGAGTGAAGTCTCAAGAAAAATATAACCAGACTCAGAATAAGCAAAATTAAGTTTTTAATTAGTTAATATTCTGCACATTTTATAATTTCATTCAGTATTCTAATAATGAACCAGTACGTGCGACAGGTGGAAGTGATTGAAGGTCATTGACTTTTCCTAAAGTGGCCCAATTACAGAAACACCTGTGTAAAATAACCAAGTGCTGATTTACTATGAAAATATACAATGTTTAACAGTAATCCAATATCATGATTTGCTTTGATAGTCTTAGTCTTAGTGGAGTTACAATGAGTAAATGAGTTTATTGTCAGGCAGACTATTACACTTTACAAATTAGCTGAAACTATCCATATACCTATTAAATACATTTTGGAAGCAGGAATGCACACAGAGTGAGACCACTTAACAGAAATGTGCACTCTGATATCATTACAAAAAGAGAAACAAAACAAAATGTTAGTTTCTCTTCTTTGTCTCATTAGAGGTTTTGACTTTGGTTTTTAAGATTGGCCTTTTGTAACCCTACCCAAAAGGTGGTACAAAATGGCTAAAATTACTTGTAGAGAGCTATTAATATATCTTTGATATTGATAAAACAAAAAAGTAGGCATGCAATCATGTTGGCCTGTAGCTTATAATACACACTTAAGGGAGACAGACCAACACTTTCCAGATGGGGAAAGACAAAATGAATGAGGAAAGAAGAAGCATTTTCATGTTCTTGCAAGGACATTACAAAGCTGGAGATTAAAACCTTCAAAAAGTATTAAAATAATGTAGTGGTGGGCTCCAACTGTTGGAAGCAATGTCGATTCAACATGATATTGACTTGTCTAAAACCACTCCTTTTAACATTTATTAACATCTTTTGGACAAGGAAGAGACTTGTCATAAGCAAAAATACCTGAGTGGATTGAAGGAGCCTTAAGACATCTGTAAAATAATGTATTTTGGGATACACCAAATTTTTTTCTGTATTTTGGCTTATAATTATTCTCAGAAATACATTTTTCCTTTCTTATATATGAACTCAACCAACTAAATATTACGTTAATGCAATTCTAAGAAGAGAAAACAAACTGTAAAGAAATTGGAAAATAAGTTGCTAAAATTTTAAATCTCTTTTGTCCCCCGGCAGTGCCTTGCCTTCCTTACCCTACCTTCAGTTATATGACAAGGAAAAAGAAATAAGCCACTTCAGTGTTAGCAGAAGTATAAAATATATAGGATTAATTCTCCCACTGAGCCACCTGTCTAGATTAGAAGAGAGGAGACTCGATTAATGAAAAGTATATAGGATTGTAAACACTTTTGCACGTGAGGAACTTCCTATGATGTATAATATTTTACACAACACAATACACACACACACACACACACACAATTTGGGTAGAAGGCCTTTTATGTTTCATCTAATGCCCAGACAAGGAGGGGGATGGCTAAGTAAGAAAAGGCAATATGCTGGGTAATAGAACAAAAAATGCTAGAAAGAGGTGATTGCCTCATCCGGGTCCTTTGCGTTCTCTCTCCCTCTCCCAACATGGTGGCCTCAGCAAAAAAGAAGAATAAGAAGGGGAAGACTATCTCCCTAACAGACTTTCTGGCTGAGGATGGAGGGACTGGTGGAGGAAGCACCTATGTCCCCAAACCAGTCAGCTGGGCTGATGAAACAGACGACCTGGAAGGAGATGTTTCAACTACTTGGCACAGTAATGATGATGATGTGTATAGGGCACCTCCAATTGACCGTTCCATCCTGCCCACTGCTCCACGGGCTGCTCGGGAACCCAATATTGACAGGAGCCGTCTTCCCAAATCACCACCCTACACTGCTTTCCTAGGGAACCTGCCCTATGATGTGACAGAAGACTCCATTAAGGAATTCTTTAGAGGATTAAATATCAGTGCAGTGCGTTTACCACGTGAACCCAGCAATCCAGAGAGGTTGAAAGGATTTGGTTATGCTGAGTTTGAGGACCTCGATTCTTTGTTCAATGCCCTGAGCCTCAATGAAGAGTCTCTAGGTAACAGGAGAATTCGAGTGGACGTTGCTGATCAAGCACAGGATAAAGACAGGGATGATCATTCTTTTGGCCGAGATAGAAATTGGGATTCTGACAAAACAGATACAGACTGGAGGGCCCGTCCTGCCACAGACAGCTTTGATGACTACCCGCCTAGAAGAGGTGATGATAGCTTTGGAGACAAGTATCGAGATCGAGATCGAGATCGTTATGATTCAGACCGATACCGTGATGGGTATCGGGACAGTTACCGTGATGGTCCACGCCGGGATATGGATCGATATGGGGGCCGTGATCGCTATGATGACAGAGGCAGCAGAGACTATGATAGAGGAGGGTATGATTCCAGGATAGGCAGTGGCAGAAGAGCATTTGGGAGCGGGTACCGGAGGGATGATGACTACAGAGGAGGCGGGGACCGCTATGAAGACAGATACGAAAGACGTGACGATCGGTCATGGAGCTCCAGAGATGATTACTCTCGGGATGATTATAGGCGTGATGACAGAGGTCCCCCCAAAAGACCCAAACTGAATCTAAAGCCTCGGAGCACTCCTAAGGAAGATGATTCCTCTGCTAGCACCTCCCAGTCCAGTCGAGCAGCCTCAATATTTGGAGGGGCAAAGCCTGTTGACACAGCTTCTAGAGAACGAGAAGTAGAGGAGCGGCTACAGAAGGAACAGGAGAAACTGCAGCGTCAGCTGGATGAGCCAAAACTAGAGCGACGGCCTCGGGAGAGACACCCAAGCTGGCGAAGTGAAGAAACTCAGGAACGGGAACGGTCAAGGACAGGAAGTGAGTCATCACAGAGTGGGACCTCAACCACCTCTGGCAGAAATGCACGAAGGAGAGAGAGTGAGAAGTCTCTAGAAAATGAAACACTCAGTAAGGAGGAAGACTGTCACTCTCCAACTTCTAAGCCTCCCAAACCTGAACAGCCTCTAAAGGTAATGCCAGCCCCTCCACCAAAGGAGAATGCTTGGGTGAAGCGAAGTTCTAACCCTCCTGCTCGATCTCAGAGCTCAGACACAGAGCAGCAATCCCCTACAAGTGGTGGCGGGAAAGCCGTTCCAGCGCAGCCATCAGAGGAAGGACCAGCAAGGAAAGCAGATGAAAATAAAGTGGATGGGGTGAGTGTTCCAAAAGGCCAAAGTGGGCACTCCAGCTGTGGGCCAGGAGATGGAGGGAACAAAGACCACTGGAAGGAGTCAGATAGGAAAGATGGCAAAAAGGATCAAGACTCCCGGTCTGCACCTGAGCCAAAGAAACCTAAAGAAAATCCAGCTTCCAAGTTCAGTTCTGCAAGCAAGTATGCTGCTCTCTCCGTTGATGGTGAAGATGAAAACGAGGGAGAAGATTACACCGAATAGACCTCTACGTCCTGTGCTTTCTCCTAGTCTCTCTCCACCCCGGAACATTTGAGAGCAAATCAAACCTCTATCCAGACAAGACAAAATAAAACTCACCATCTCCTGGAGACCTTTCTTAACTTTTTTTTAAAAAAGCAAACCGAAATGAAATGAAATGGAAAAAAAATGCTAGAAAGATAAAAATTAAGTACTGCCAATTTTGTTAAAGGTAACTTGTACCACTCCCAAAGCATTGATTTTTTTTCATGAAAGAGGTGGGAAGAAAACTTGTGAATAAACAGCAAGTATGGAATTATCCTAGAGGATGTTTCAAAGGGGCTTGGGGAGAGTGGGAATGATTTAGTGGGGGTTAGGAAGATATATCAGGTAACTAATTCCAAATAATGTTCTGCAAAAATGATCGCAAAATCTCTTTGGCATACAACAGTAAGTGTTTATTGCTCATATGCTTAGTATGGCTTTCTAGGGACCTTGTTGGTTTTTGCTGGGTTCTCTCACACGTCTGGGATTTGGCTGGCTGTCCACTCATTTAAACTGACCTTGGCTGGTATAACTGGAGTAACTTGGTTCTGTTCACCCATCTCTCACTGTTCAGCAGGTTATCCCAGGCGTGTTCTGATGGAATAGAAGAGAAAGTAGACAAAGGGCATGCACAATTGTGTAATCATTTTCAAGACTCTTTGTTTCACATTTGCTGACATCCCAAAGGAATTCATATGGCTACACCAAGAATCAGAGTAGAAGACTCTGAAAAACAACATGGCAAAGGGCATGGATAAAAGGAGGAAGAAGGTAATGTTTGTAATCTATCACAGCGTTCCTGGGGAGAAGATACAATCCCATCCTCAACTTTGTAACCCAAAGGTGAAACAAAAGCAATCTAACCTCCTCTGCAGTGATGAAACTTCAGTAGCCTTAGGGTTTTTGCTTGTTTCCTTTTCATCTGTATATTCATCAAATTGTGCAACATGAGGTTGCTGTAACTGAAAACACTCAAAATCTTAACTGCAGGTGGGGTCATATTCAGAGTAGTAACTCAGGAGTCTGAGCTGATGGAAGTTCTGTCTCCACATGGGCTTCCACAACTCCTGAGGAGGCAAGCAATGGGAAAACGGACAGCAACGGCTCTTAAGTCTCTTAAGCCTTCATCTGTCAGGTAACCCAAATCCTTTCTGCTCATATTTTATTGGCCAAAGGAAGTCATGTGACTTCAACTTAAAAGTGCTAGAGTGTACAATTCAATCCTATTGTGAAGGTGAAAAAGGAGGATAAAAAAAATATTTGGGAATGACCCAAATGACTACACAATTTTTCACTGGAGAGACATTCTTTTTGTTGTTTTTTGCACTTTTAATAATTTTTTGTTTTTCAATTACAGTTGGCATACACTATTATATTAGTTTCAGGTGTACAACGGTGATTAGATATTCATATAACATACAAAGTGATCACCCCAATAAATCTAGTATACATCTGACACTATACATAATTATTACAATATTATTGACTATATTCTCTATGCTGTAATTAAAATCCCCATGGTTATTTTGTAACTACCAACTTGTACTTAATCCAGTCTCCTTTTTTACCCATACCTCAAACCCCTCCCATCTGGCAACCATCAAAATTTTCTCTGTATCTGAGTCTGTTTCTGTTTATTTTTGTTCTTTAGATTCCACATATAAGTGAGATCATCTGGTATTTGTCTTTCTCTATCTGACCTATTTCATTTAGCATTATACTCTCCAAGTTCATCCATATTGTTGCAGGTGACAAGACTTCATTCTTTTTTATGGCTGAGTAATATTTCATTGTATACATGTAACACCTCTTCTTTATCCATTCATTTATTGATGGACACTCAGATTGCCCCCATATCTTGGCTATTGTAAATAATGCTGCAAGGAACATATGGATGCACATGTCCCTTCAAAATAGTGTTTTGGGTTTCTTCAGCTAAATATCCAGAAACGGAATTACTGGACCTGGCTTTCTCTCTTGTTATAGGCTTTTTTTAAAAGTCTGTTCAATATAAGTATTTCTACCACAGCATTTTTTTTCTATTTTCCTTTTCATGAAATATCTTTTTCCATCCTTTTAATTTCAGTCTGCGTGTGTGTTTGATTTGAAGTGTCTTTCGTAGGCAGCATAAGCGAGGGTTGTTTTCTTATCCATTCAGCCACCCTTTCTTTTGATTGGAGCATTTAATCCATTTACATTTAAAATAATTGTTGATACATATATAGTTATTGCCATTTTATTATTCATATATATTTTTTTGTCTTCTTAAAGAAGTCCCTTTAACATTGTTTGTAATACTGGTTTGGTGGTGATAATCTCCTTCAGCTTTTCCTTGTCTGGGAAGTTCTTTATCTGTCCTTTGATTCTAAATGATAGCTTTGCAGGGTAGAGTAATCTTGGTTGTAGGTCCTTGCTTTACGTCACTTTGAATATTTTCTGCCAATCCCTTCTTGCCTACAAAGTTGCTATTGAGAAATCAGCTGACAGTCTTATGGAAGCTTTCTTATAAATAACTAACTGCTTTTTTCTTGCTGCATTTAAGATTCTCTCTTGTCTTTAACCTTTGACATTTTATTTATTTTTATTTTTCAATTAAAGTTGACATTCAGTATTATTTTATCAGTTTCAGGTGTACAGCCTAGTGGATAGACACTAATATAATTTATGACATGATCTTCCTGATAAGTCTAGTACCCACTTTGAGGTGGTTGGGTGGTGCGCTGATGTGATCTGAAGCTGGGTAGGGGTAGGGCTCAACAAAGGAATGATGGCTTCTTCCAGCTTTTCTGCCTGAGAGAAAGCTGCCTCTCCAGATTTAGCCTTGAAGCCAGACAATTCAGTTCTTCCCCATAGTTCCCTGGTACCTTTCAAGTTCCTGCTCCAGCACTGAAGCTCAGAGCAAGTGAGTCTGTCAACAAGTGTGTCCATGCACAGACCCTTTAAGGGGAGTGCCTGGTACTCCAGCCACCCTCCGTCTCATTCAACCATAATCTCTGCTGGTTTTCACAGCCAGAAGTTATGGGGACTTCTCTTCCCGGCACTCTATCCCTGGTCTGGGGAGGCTGATATGGGGCTGGGACCCCTCACTCCTCAGTGGGACCTCTGCAGTCTAGACACCCTTCCTGATTTTTCACCATCATATGTGGGTGTGAGACCAGCCTGTTCTGCATCTCTGCTCCTCCTACCAGTCTTGGTGTGGGTTCTTCTGTGTGTCCCTAGTTGTGGGACTTCTGTTCAGCTGGATTTTAGGCAATTCTCAATGATGGTTGTTCTGTAGTTTAGTTGTAATTTTCTGTAGAGGTACTCTTTTTTTTAAAAAGATTTTTATTGGGGAATTGGGGGGATGGGAACAGTGCTGGGGAATTGGGGGAAGGGGAACAGACAAGTTGCTGTCCTTTTTTGTTCTTCAGTCTAGTTGTAGAGGACGTTGCTTCACTGGCCCAAGTTGGCACCATCATTGCGCTCTTCCTGGGCGAGGCACATCAGTTGCTGGCTTCTGGACGGCCGCTCACTGCAGCTGCTGGCCGCTCACGCTGGCTGCTGGCTACACATGGTAGCCCATGGCAACCCACTGCCACAGGGGCTGCAGCCTACGCTGTCACCGGCGACTCACAGCAGCCCAGCTCCAGGTTGAGCTGTTGTTCAGCATCTTAGCTGTAGAGGGCAGTGTCACTGGCCCTCATATGTGGGATCCGAACCGGGGCCCTCTGGCGTCCCAAGCTAGTTCTTAACCATCATGCCACTCAGCCAGCCCTGTAGAGGTACTCTTAAAGTCAAGTTTCCATCAAGGTATCCCCACATTAAAAACAAGCAAAAAAAAAACCAAAAAAAACACCCCACCTCAGATGAAGTCTTTTGTTTGACAGGGAACTATGAAAAATATTATTTATTCTTATAGTGAGAAATGCCTAACATAGTAAGGAATATCATAAAATATTTTTGTCAATTCCTTATTATAATTGCCTTTTTGAAAGAGCAGGCAGGTCAGCCTACCCACAGAGAAATACTTAAGCAATTTTCAGAGGTGAGACGATTAAAAGTCTAATTAGCTAAGTTGACACAAATCAACTTCTTTTTGGCCTATAAATTTTTTAAACATTATTTTACTGCATTCAGTATACCTAGGATTAAAATTGATGTTTCTGTTTCAATGTTCTGTTATAACAAACACTGTGCTCTGACCTTTAATGAAGAAAAAATTAATATATGCACATCAAAAAAATGTAGAGAAAATCATCTGAAAGCCAGATGTCTGTACTGAGGAGTCTTTCAAATTATTGACTGAGGTAGTTATTGTTATTTTAAACAGCCTGCTATTGCGATCAAATCTAATGCTTCACTGCCTCTTATTCTCTCCATAAAATATCATTCAGTAGAGTTGTTTCCTTAAAACAAGACAAAATAAAATATTACATTTTGAAAATATCCCCATGATAAACAGGAATGTGAAACCATAGGAATATGTGCTCTACTTCTTAGGCTATTATTATTGTAGAACCTGTGATTAGCTGAAAACTATCATGAGGTGCACTATATGTGTACATTTGTGTTTCTTAAAAAGAAGGTGATGCTCTGCAGCTCACAGATAACACAAATAGCATGTGATGCAGTAGTTGCTAAGGGCAACCACACATCTTTTCTGTCATTTCTCTATTCCTAAACGGCCAAACCTAATGATGTTTCCAATACCATAAAATCTGTGGATCTGCCCTTAGAACTTTGACAGGATATAGTCTATAATGATTATTGGGTGTGTGTGTGTCTGGGGGAGATGTAGGACGTTTAAAATGAATGGACCTAAAATTCGTTGCTTCATGCTGAAGGAAAAAATTATGTGCACTATATAAAAATCCGACTCAATACTAACTATACCTAAAACATGAATATTGGATAATCCAAGAAGATTGATTTAGCATGTGATATTTCTACCCGTTATGTTAACATTTCCATAGTAGTAAATGAATTTGATTCATTGTTTTGAAAAATTCTAAAGACCAAAAAATTGCTCTGGTTGATGATTACCAGAGAAATACTCAGCAGAAAATATTATCAGCTCAGCAAATCAGGTATTCCTATCCATTTTGGTTTGGGTTTAATAGAAAGCTA